AAGGCTGGGAGAAAGAAGAGCTGCCTCACCCTGAGTCCTCAGGGAAGGGTTTTGCCAGAAAAAGAAGTAAAAAGGCTCTGTCCCTCACCCTGGCACGTTGCAGGGTGACGAGGAGAGACCTCGAGCGGGGACGACCCTGCCTTTTTCCTGGCTTTTTCAGGCTGTTTTTGTGAGTCGGGGTGTCCCAGCTCAGTGTTTCTGATGCCAGGGCCTGGCAGTGGGGACCTGCGAGTGCCCCCCATCCTCATGGTTGGGGCAAAAGTGTGGTGGGGCCGTCGGGATGGGGCTGATGGGGCAGGTACCACGTTAGCTCAGCTTTTGGCGTGTCATTAATCATGGATCTTGCGTCGCACCCCAAAAGAGTCCCAGGACCATTGACAAAAAGGAGCTGTATCCCGCTGTCCTCCCCCAGACTGGCAGCTCCCCCCCCTTGAAATTGCTGTGCTTGCTTGTACGAGGGGGATTAGGTGGATTTGTCCCCAAAAAAGCGGAATTCGGGGTGGTTTTCTAAAAGGGGTAGTGTTGATTCATTGTGCTATGAAGAATCTGAGCAGAGGCAGGCGATGAGCTGGGGCCATTCCTCCTCCACCGCGCTTTACGAGCCACCAATATTTTGATTCCTTTGGTGTCATCGTTTTTGCCTATCTGTTGGTGCAATCCTCCAAAAATCCGCGCTTTACGAGCCACCAATATTTTGATTTCTTTGGTGTCGTCGTTTTTGCCTATCCGTTGGTGCAATCCTCCGAAAATTATATATAGATATATATATATTTTTTCAAGCTCTGCGCGTGCCATTAGCAGTGTGAAGGTAGAGTCCTGAAGGCATTTGATGAGGTTGTGTTGAAGTGCCTCGGCGCTGCGGCACGGGGAATTAAGTTCCTATAGTAACTCTGGGAGAAGGCTGTGGAGCTCTGGAGCGGCGCGTAGGGTGTAGTATTGTGTGTTTGCATCATTTCTTAATTTATTTATTTGAAAAGGTGATGTTTCCCAGATTAAAAGCACCCCGAGCTTTTAGCTGAGCTTAACTTTTACGGCTGTTTGATCAACCTCCCCTCTTATTCGTGCTCTGAGGATGATCAGGCTTGATGGAAAAATATCCCCGCAGATTTGTGCTTTAGATTTTGGAGAGGTAAAACTTGAGGGGATGCTTCTTTGGGGGAAATCTCCTTTTATTGTGGGGAGCGCAGGAGGAAATCATTTTTGTTGTGCTGAACTCGTCCCCTGAACTGAGACATCTGGTTAACTTTGTGTGGGTTAAAAAAAAAAAAAAAAAATCTAATTTACGTCCTGCGAGTGCCTCCTCACCTGGACGTCGCTGCAGGCAGTGGAAATGCTGGCGTCGGGAGTTTTTGCTGGGGAGGGAATGGCAAAGCAAAGGATTGGAGAGGAGCTGGTTGAGGGTGGCTTTACAGATGTCTGCTCCGTGCTGGAAAAGCCATGGAAAAACCCCTCCGCAGGAAGCGGGGAGGGCGGTTGTCTGAGGAGGCGCAGCTATATTTTAATATGAAGGTGCTAATTTTTATCCTCAGTGAAGGTGGTTTTGTGCTGCTTAGGTTTTCTTTTAGCTAACGCTTTGGTGATGTTTCTCCATTTGAAACCTTGGTGTGAAAAGAAACTTTAAGAAAAAGGGCTGGGGGGGGGTGGAAAAAAAGAGGTTAAAAAAAGAAGAGTTTAGCTGAATGATTTTGTTTTGGCAACTTGTTCAATAGTGGCAGCTTTGAAATTGCCAAAACTCGACTTTGAAATGGTTGAGTGAAGTTCCCTCTGAGGGAAACCCAGCTGGCACCTTGGGAATTGACTCCTGTGCCTGCTGGGCAAGGTAGCCCAGACTGGGATGGCCAGGAAACTGGGAGAGGGACGGCCTGGAAACTGGGAGAGGGGAGAAGTCACGGTCAGCCCTGCTGGCTGGGAGGAGACTGGGGAAACTGGAGGGGCTTAGTGGCTGAGGAGCATAAAGGATCGTGCAGAAGAGGGCTATTCCCATGGTTTTGTCCTTTTTTCAGGCCTGTGGTACCCCACAGATCCAAAACAGCTCTGGGGGGGGGGTGGTTTGGGGCACTTGGCACCGCAGAGCGAGGGGCTGGGCAGAGATCCCCTGCACCCTTCCCCGGTCTCCAGCATCTCCAGCTCCAGTGTTTGGGCAGAAACTGGTCTGTGGGCAGGGAAAAAAAGCAGCAGAACATCGGCAGGGTTTGGTCTGGGGTGGGGGGGGACCAAAAAAACAGTGTTTTTTTCACTGTGCCCGGGGCAGGTGTGGGGGGGATGTCACTGCTCCCCGTGCTTCCCAGGGAGCGCAGTCAGGGCTTGGAGCAGGAATTGAGTGTTGGGCTCTCGTCACAGGCTGGGACGTGGCTTTTAGCTGGCAGGGTCACAGCAGGGTAGAAAAACGGCAGGATTTGGGGTTTTTGCTAGCCATGGGCTTGCTGGGTTTGTGTGCCAGAGAGAACGGTCACTTTGGAAAATACCGCTCCAGCCAGAAAGGCTTGAGAGGCAGGGAATCAGCACGTGGCATCTGCTTTAAATAAAATTATCTACTTATTACCTCTTCTTTAAATTTCTCCTGGTTTCACTAGGGTATTTTTCCAGTGCAAAATCTTGTGTTTGCCTTTTTTTTAAAAAAAAAAAAAAGTATTTTTGCCGCTTTCTGTAGTCTACGTAGCATAGTCCTTGTACTGCTTTGGGCAAGAAGATGATGATGTTCTTTTTGCTGGCTTTTTTTCTTCTTTTCCCTTGTTTTGTGTTTGGTTTTTTTTTTACCTGTGTGAGTAGAATGCAGCTGAATGTAGGGTTTTCACCACTTCCCTGCGTTCTTACTGCAAATAAACATTTCTTTTGTTTGCCTTTAGCATCCTATTAATGGACTTGAGCTTCTCAGTAATTATTGATAACGTCAAGGAAAAAAGTTGAGATCCCCGAGAGAAACTCGGTCTTAAGGGTAGGAAAAATCTGAGGTTGGACTCAAAAGCTGTCTTTAATGAGGAGAAAAATCTCTGTGCAGCAGATTATGTGGCTGAAGTTCCTGATGCAGAGTTCACCAGGACGGGATGCTGGTTGCTCACTGGTGAAGGGCTCCCGGGCGCTGAAGGAAGGCAGATGTTCCCCAGAACACGCGCTTTCCCATAATATTTATTTTTACTAGAAAGAAGATGCTGCAGGAACTTGCTGAAACCGGCAGTCACCAATATTTAAAAATCATGTGCTTGGGCAACCCTGATGTGGATTTGCTTAATTTGGCAAGATTCAGAAAGAAAAAGAAAGTGGATATATTTTTTTTTCTCCTATGTTTTTCAGTGCTGTGAGCTTCACTGCCCAGATTTTATTATGTCTTATTTTATTTTTATTTGTTTTTTGGTGACAACCGTAAGGCCAAAGGGCCTGTGGTTTACAGCAAAGCTCAAATTTTCATGTAATCACCTGATTCCAGAGCTTGACTTGTATTTTTAAAAATGAGGCTATTGGTAATATTGTAAGAATTGGCACCACTGCACCAGGAAAAAATATATTTGATTTTTAGTCTTGGCCTGCAGAAGTATTTTAAAATAATGCAGTAAGTGGAGTGATTTTACGTTAATGACTTTGCACCACTCA